TGCAATATTTACAGTAGAATGGGAAAAGAATTATTAAAAATTGAATGTTTCATTAAAAACTTATGCCTGGGCTCAGGGTTGCTGGAAAACTGCTGAGCCGAAGCTAAAGACGGATAGGTGCTTTGAGCCAGCGACTTTTATTTTGTTGGTCTTGCAGGCTTGATTCAAATAGCTACTCAAGAATATTCTGTACTCTTTTTCGTTGTCTTTTGTCTCAATTAATTCAATTTAAAAACTTGTGTGTGTGTCTAACTCTCTTTCTCCTGCTCTCACTCTCGCTCTTTCGTTCTTAGCTTGTCTTTGTTCTTTATGACACAAGTTTGTCGCAGTCGCTGTTTGGCAGCATTATCTTCTAGTTCAGCAAGTTTGCATATAATACACACACACACGCGCACACGCGTGTGTCTTCCTTGCTAAGCTTTGGCTTCTTTAACCCCCTCGCCCGCCGCATCATCCTCCACCCACAGGCCAATTACAAGCGCCCGTCGGGGCCAAATTCTCTACAAAGGCAAATGATATTAACATATAAATTGCACAAAGTGCCACTGATTTAGTTTTATTTGCTTGGCATGGCACACACACACACACACAGACACACACCCGCACACACACACGCACTCATACATTTGACTGTGTCAGTTTGTTTTTACGTCTTTCAGCAAACATTTACGTTTATTATGCCGATTTTCTAGCGCAGAAAAATAACGCTTATGTGCGCACACACACCCACACGTACATGCACACGCACACACACACACACGCATACAGTTTTTGCAAAAAGTTTGATAGAAAGTTTTTTGGCTAGTTTGTTGTTGTGCCTGCAGCTGACGTCAGAGCTGGGAGTCTCTGCCCCACTCCCTCTCCAAGCCCATAGTCCGCTCAATGGCGGCGGCATTCGCGTTTTACGCACGCACACCCAAGCAGGAGCAGCAGCAGCAGCAGCAGGAACCACCCCCAGAAAAGCACCCACAGGCCACATGGAAAGCTCCCCTTGCGACCCCACCCTGTGCTATCATCATCAATATCAGCCCTGGCAATGACAGAGCCATCTCGTTTTAGCGCACATTTCCGGTCTCTGTCAGCTATGTCTTTGCCTAACGCTTATCTATGGCCTGCTCCTCTCTCTCTCTCTCTCTCTCTCTCTCTCTCTCTCTCTCTCTCTATCGCTCTTTTTCGCCAGCCAGTCTGTCTCGCTCTTGCCGCTTATCTCTTTCTTACTTCTGGCATGCATAATGTGGCGCTTTTAGCTGCTTTCACATACAATTTACTGTCTTCTCAATGGCAACAATTTATGCTGCTCTTTTTTATGGGCAAAACGTCGCCAGCGGAAATTGATATTTGTGGAGGAAAAGTTTCTAAAAGACTTTGGCACACATACGAGAAAACTGTGGGGTAAGCGGACTGACAGACAGACAGATAGACAGAAGTTCCACAAGCCTTTGGCCACAGTCAGCAAAATAAATATTTAACTGGTTATAAATAAAATCAAATCAAAGTGAATTCATTTTCTATCCTATCTATATATTTAATAGAAGAAATGCCCGATTTTGTTTATAGCGCGTTCTTATCTAATTCCTTTCGCCATTGCGAGACACTTCTTTGGTAAAGGAGTGCGTGCCGTGTGAGAGATAAAAGAGAGTTTCATAAGTTATAATTGCCGCGTTATCGCCAGATTATCGCTTAAACACTAAAACGGCGACAGCAATGGAAATATGTTATAAAATTGGCGTAAAGAGTATCGCCTTGTCGAGCACACTCGCATTTCCCGCTTAAATATAAATATTTTTCTACTTTAAGCGCAGCAGCAGGGTTTGTACAAAGCGATGCTCTACTGTAGCGCGTATTGCCAGCCGGCTTAATGCATTGAAAGGGTTGGCGAGCTTACCCCCATTTGGGTCTTTTGGACCATTGTCTGCTTTGTTCTCTTTTTTAAATGCGCGGAAATTGTTAATTTAATGGCCGGCTATATCCGCTGAGTAAAACGCACTATGAGCACCCAGTCTGAGCAGAGTCTGTGTCCCAGTTACCGCCCCGATCGCATCTGTGCAGCTGCAGCTGCAGCAGCAGCAACAACAGCTGCCAGCTCGCTGGGGGCCCGCTGGCGTTTTCAAAATGGCCACCGCGTGGACAGGCGGCGTCCAACTGGCAACTAAATGCACCAATCGCATTATGGCCGTCCAACGTTTTGACCTCCTCAAATTGCCAATCAGCAATTGGCAATTGCAGTCGCCAGTTGGGGCTGCATCCATGCATCCACATCATGATGGTCGGATTGATCGATCTTTCGGTGGATCGACGGTTCGACAACTCGACTTCTGCCCCCCCGGAGGCGCTTTGGTCCACGTTTTGCAGACATTTTGCCGCGCACTACTTAAAGTAATTTCGCTGGCGCTGGGTCTGTTGGGGTCTGCTGGGTCTTCGACTTGGCGCAATTGTTTTCGGTGGATGCTTCACGTCGTCGTCTAAATAAAATGCATTTTCTTTGCACGTCCAATGGTCTCCCTGTCCTGTCCTGTCCTGTCCTGTCCCGGCCTGGCCTGGCCTGGCCTGGCCTGTGCTGGCCTGTCCCCTGCAGCGGGGGGACTTTGCAGCATTTGTGGCTCTTTGTCTGCCATATAATTTGCACAAATTGCAATTTAGAGAAATAAAGGAAAACGAAACGGCAAAAAAAAAAAGAAAAAATAACGCAGAAATTGAGAAAAATACAAAAATTATTTTTTGTTATAATGCGCTACGTTTTAAAGGTATGTCATGCTTGATAAAGCGTTTGAAATGAAAACATCGTTAAAATAAATAAACAATTAATGTGAATATAAATATACATATAATATATATTTACAATTTTGTATGAAGATTCTTCAGAATTTATATTACAGTATGTTGTCTTAATATCTCAGAAGAGCTTGAAAGATTAATTTGGAAACAAATAAATTTGCTAGGCATTCAACTTGTACCTTTAACCATGTTAAGAGGTAACTAAAAGTGTGCTTGTGCTTATAAAAAGTTGGTTTAAAAAATTAAATGTTAATAGAAAATTGTAAAATTATTATAACACAATTATACAATAAGCAAGCAAAAGCAAAAGACATTTTGCAAATTTATATAAATTTCTCCGAAAATAGATACATACAATTTTTCAGATATTGGAAGCATAGGAGCTAATAAATTCTTATATATATTCTGGGTATCTCAGCCATATTTTTGCATCTGCAAACTGATGGACTATATAAGGTCTCATTAATGCTTGTAGGTGTGTATATTTGTTGCGCAGTTTCAATAAAAGTTAAAGGTGTTTGACAAACTGCGCCAATGTAGGGCCATTCGGTTGCCCGTCTAGCCGTATTGCCTTTTACAGCCCCTATAAAAGCTGACCTGCTATAAGCCAGATCGTCGTCATCAGCGGTGCCAGCGAATCAGTTGCTGACTGGGAAACATAGAAATCACGTTTTAGCCATCAACGACGCAAATGCAACAATTTTGAAATGTGCGACTGTTATGGACTAAGGAGGAGGGGGTGTAGGGGGTAACGTAGAGGCAGGAGGGTCGCCCGTTCGAATTCTGCAATATTTCTTCATTGTATTGATTATCGGTTGTAATGTTGCAAATTAAATGCCTTTGCCTCAGTTCGAACTTTAGCTTCGAAGCTGGCATTCAGTCAGTCAGCCAGCCAGCCAGCCGGCAATCAATCAAACAATCAAACGCAACTGGCCATCAATCCCGAACAGGAACCGGCCAGATCGGCCATAGTTGGTTTCTTTATTTTTATTTTTTTTTTTATTATTATTATGTGCAGCCTGTATTTTCGACTTTTGTGCATTTTTATGAGAAAATTTAGCAAAAATTAAATTGCTCGAACATGTTCAGAGTTGGATTCGGACTTGAACTGGCGATTACCGCGATACGACAAGGAATTTATGTGAAAATTAAACGGCCAAAAATGATTGGGGGCTTTTGACTTTGGGATTGCGTTGTTGTTGGCAATGCGAATCGGCCAGCCAAATGTTAAATTCTATAGCTTCAACTGTGACTGTGGCTCAACTGCCTTAAAAGCTGCTGCGGCTGCTGCTGACATCGTTTCCAGTGCCTCAAGAGATTCTCTCAGCGTTAGAGTCTAATCCCGGCCAGATCTGCGCCTGATAAAAATTAATTATGAATGGAGATGCCAACAAAAAAACTAACAAAAAAAAAAAAAAAAGATGGTAATTGAAAATGCAAACAACAACTGGAAAATCGGCCAACAGTTGGGGATGTGGCTGACTGAGCTGACAGAGGTGCTTGCCACATGGCAATTGTTGGTGAAACTCGTTGCAGCAATTAGCAGACTCAACTGCAGTTGCAGTTGCACTTGCATTCGACTTGCTAAGCAGCAGCCACAGTGCCGCAAACGAGATTTACTTAGTGGAGCATCAAGAAATGTTCATAATGAAGCACTTAAATGAATTTAATTGTGTGAACACCAGCAACCAGACCGATCCAAAAGGAAGGCGCCATTCAGCTTTGCAAACAATACCCAGCAAAATGAGTGCAAGCGCAATGATTAGATACTTGAATGGGCATGTTGTTGACTATAGAGATGAGTATAGCTAAGAGTTTGAGTATGGGTATAGCTGCTGAAATGTTTGCCTATGTGGCAATTAATGCCTGTGAGATACGAGTGATGAATCGGGAAGCAAGATTCAATTAACTACTTCCCCATTATTTTTTATAATAATAACATAGTTGGACATAGACATATCCTACGCTTTTTATATGTTTTATATTTTGTTTTTCCTTTAACTATTTTAAGTAGTTTTAGAAAATTAACCAAAAATGTTTTATCTATAACTAAAAGTTTTCTTTAGCAAATATTACGTTGCAGGGCGATTCTATTAATTGTAGCGTAGTATTCACTTTACAGAAACTAATTTGTGTTCTAAACTTTTGCGAATTTGTTGTGCGCTACCTAATCAATATTAAAGCATATTTAAAATTCTTTTTTTTTTTAGTTTTTATTGGCAAATCGAACGATCCCTTTTAAAAAATTAATACAAATTGGCAATGTTTTGAGAGCAGTTTTGCTGGTAAGTTTTTATTTAAAAACGATATCTAGATATTAATAATAATAATAATAAAATAATAAAAATAATATAAATAAAAAATAATTATAATAATAATAATTATAATAATAATAATAATTATAAAAAAATAACAATAATAACAATCTCAGTATAAATATTGTTATTAATAATAAATCTTCAAATTTGTGTTCTCAAGAAAAATAGCTGAGAGCTTAGAAGAAGTATTTAGGGAATAATTTTTTGAATACAAAATACATTTTAACTTAATTTAAGTGATTTTTTGCTTTGCTTTTTAAGAGAAAACATCTTGAAATGTAGAAGTAGTTTCTCATAAAATTAAGGTTATTTAACCTTTGGCCTTTGACCTTTCTTTCAAATCTTTAATTTGAGTGAACATAGCTTAATTAAAAAAAAAAAGTATTATTAATTTTCGCGCTGACATGTTTAGCTGTTAAGTGAAATATTTCGACATTTCGCGTTCACTTCAAATTGCCCACTTCAAAAATTGAAAATTTGCAACTGTCAATGATTTAACAAAAACTTAGCTAAGAGGGTAGCTAACTAGCCCTACCCTTGGCTAAAGACGAAACCACCCCACAGATCAATGCACACACACATAATACACACTCATACATAGACACATGCACGTCGTGATATGAAAAACAAAAAATGAAGATACAAGCCTAATGATAAGGTGAACCAAATGTAAATTACCACAAAAAGTACAACGCGACATGGAATGGGTCATGAATATATGGCTATTGGGTATGGGAATATGAATATGAATACTTTTCGGAGCCAGATCCGGCAGGCGGCTCCTGACTGCGGGGCAATGCAGATGGTGGTGCAACTGGCATTTACTGCCAGTTGACAGACGACACCGCCACCGCCGCCGCAAGGGTTGACGACTTTGTTGCAACCTGGATGGGCAATTGTGATGGTTATCAGAGCCAGGCTGATTTGTTCTAGTAACAGCCGCTCACAATTTACAATTCACAGCCTAGCTCAGTTGAGCTATGTTGGGTACAGTTCAGTCGAGTTGCGCTCAGCTGGAGCTGTGTGGCATATTGGCCGGGTGGCCGACAGATCTCCAGCGGCGGCCATCGGGGATCTGCAACGCGTGCCCCGCCTGATTAGCGCAGAATGTTAATTTCACACTTTGATCGCATTTTCAACGATTCAGCGTTAATTTAATTTCAATTTAATTTGCGCTGCAATCGTGTCAGTCTTAGAGCCAGCCAAAAGGTAAAGCGCACAGCAGTTCATCAATCACCATCAGCTCGCAGCCGCAGTTGGAGTCAGAGTCAGAGTCAGAGTCGGAGCCACGTCGGTTTCATTAACAGCCGCTCGAGCAGCTCGTCAACTGTTTGGTTTATTGTTGCATTTTGTCCTACCGGTTGGCTGAGGCGCGCTCGCTTCAAAGGCATTCCAGACCCGCGTCTGGCCACAGGTCTTTATCTGCATTCATCAGTCGCCAAACAAAACCAAGTCAACCGGCTTCATTTGTAATGGATCCGAGTGGAGGCGAGTGGAGTCGAGTGGTGGCGAGTGGAGGCGGCCACGCAGTAGTCACACCAAAAGTCAAAGGCTCTGATTGCCTTACATTAATCATCCAGCACCAGGCAGGCAGCAGCCGCGATGAGTCCACCTTTTGACTAGGCGCGCGCTTCCAAGCTACAGCTTCTGCTTCAGCTTCAGCTCCATCTCCATTTCCGTCTACGTCTTTGCCAGCGTCTGAGCAGTTTAGGCCGCAAAATTGTTTCGGGCTACTTACAACAAGCTGCTGCTGCTGCTGCTGCGTCTGCGTCTGCGTCTTGCGCCTTATTGTTGTAATTGTTATTGTGGCTTATTAATAATGCCGCGAGCTGGGTCGAGTGACTCGATGAGGCTGAGGCTAACTCTGGGTCGCAGGCTGACTTTGGCCATATAATGGTAGCTTGCTCTGTAAATCGATAGCAGCTTATTATTGGTATGTCTCTCTGGGTTAGTGTGTGCGTGTGTGGGTTAAAACATTATCATTATTATTAGTCATTATTAGTTACGTCTCACTTGCTGGCTGAGGCAACTTTTGTGGTTGACTCGCATCGGCGACAAATTGCTATTTTATGTAATCAAGCGCCTAAACATTTATTATTAACAAACTTGCACTCATTTACACCATTTGCGGCAACAATAGTTACAACAACAACAACTGTTGCACGGAACTGCGAGTGTAGTCCGTAATCCGAGCCAGATCGGATCGCTGAGTGGGCGACTGGGGCTGCGGCTGATGCCTTACAATTGAGCTTAAATGCCTTGGCTGGGCAGGGCAGCTCACGTTTTTCCATTGACAAAGTATCGATTGCAAAACGATGCTGCGAAAAGAGACCACGTCAATTCTCAACTCGCAAATTCTCAACTGCTTGCCAAATCTGTGAGCAACATTGCCTATCCAATGGTCGATAGCAGACGACTCGAATGTAGAGGTCTAATGTTAATCGCTGCTTACCTCTGCCAAGCCGAAGCAGAGCCTTATGTGGCTATTGTTATGGGGAAAAAAGTCCTTATATCGGACTCTGCTATATATCCTTTTTTCTTTTTAAATGTTGAGTACGTATTTTAAATCAAAAATTTAAACCAAAGTCTGAGAGAAAAGAGAAGACAAACAGAGAGAGGTAGAAAGGGAGAGAGAGAGAGAGAAAGGGAGAGATTTATATATATATATATATATATAGACAGAGAGAGAGAAAAAGAGAAACAGATACTTTTGAACGCATAAAGTGATATATACTAGACGAAATCACCCGGCATTATACAGCTCAGACGAATAATAGTGAAAAAGGCTTGTTGAATCTGCGCCAACTTTAAATACATATACACAAAGCCGTCCAAATTGCTGCACCACGTTTATACACTCAAAAGTTTTTTTAAAAACTAATATGGTTCGGTTCAGGTTTAGGTTTTCTCATATATACTTTATTTAGCGGTTTAAGTTTGGGCTTATGGCAATTCAAAAGCTGGAACTTCGGCTCAGATTCGGTTTAAGGCGGTTTAAGGTTTTGTATTCTTGTTAATATACTTCAGAAGCCTGTCTTACATTATAAGGAAATTCGTTCCAAATAAAAAGGGTTGTCTATAAAAAATGAACAGTAATAAAATATGTCAATCAGACTCGATTCAAGGACAGTTAAAAAAATTGGCTGAGATGCTTCCTCAATTAAGGGAAAGGCAATATTGCCATTATTTGATATATTTTTCTCGCTGACAATTGCTGACTGACCACCCACAGGCACAACGCCCCCAACTAATTGAATTTTGGCTTAAATTGATCATAGAGCTAAATCTGTTTCAGGGTGGTGGTTGGTGGCGCGTTTCCTGTATGCTGCTCCGAACGGATGACAACATTCTTAATGGTCGCCACACGATGGCCGATGCTATCGCGCAACCAGCAGCGGCATGAGCAGCCGCGGCGCAAGAACAAACAGCCGCAGCAACAACTGCAGTTGTCTTGGACGCACAGTAGCCACATTTGGGTAAAAGATTTCGATAACAGCCAGCACGAGAGTCGGCAAGCCAGATGAAGATGGAAGATGCCACCAGATGGAAAGAGCAGCACAGCCAACAGCACCACCAGCACCACAGCCAGAACGAAAGTCAAGTTCATTAATAACCTGCGCATTGATCATTAATTTTTCAACGGCAGCATAGTTAGAGGCCGTTTCATTAATCGTCCTCCAGCTCGCAGTTACATGAGTTGGCCAGAATTGTAGCTAAAACCCGGTAGCATCAAATAAACAAAACGCAATTGCAATTGGCCGCAACTGTTTGCACGTATCGGAATCCGTTGGTGCACTCAATTAGGCTTCAGCGGCTGCGTCGTCCAAGCGAACTGGGCGCGAAAAATGTATTTAAAAGCAGAGAATACACCCGTTTTCCACCCCCATAACGTATATATACACTTGATCACTATCAAATGTCATTTTGATATAGACAATTCATCTAAGCATATACAAAATGTATCATTAAATTGTTGTAATAACATTTATGAAATTCATTTATGAAAGGCAAAGGCTTAAACTAAAAGCCGGGTTTATATTAACTGAACCTCCAGATCAGGTGTTGGTTCGAGCCGTACTTCAGTTTTTCGTTGGCTTGCGGTTAACTTAATACCTAACTGGGAAAATATTGTTATAGTCGATTTCAAATATTTGTATATACCTATAAATTTTTAATTATTCAACTATCAAATATTTAAAATCGGACTGGCTAACTATAGTCTTCGACTAAAAGAAAGCTATATTCGCCTGTGTTTAACTTTTAAGCTTTATATATGTTCCGGAGCAGGTGTCTAAGTCCATTCAAATATATTCCGGGTAGCTGTTAGATGCGACCGAATGGTCTGTATGTATATTGTGTAGCCATTGAACTTTAAAACGAAATTATGGAGCGGCATTTGGGCTATTTTGATTGCATAAATGCATGAGTCTGCGTATTGCTGGCGCCTAGATCTTCCTTTATGCAAATGTCCCGAGCACCGACTGTAACCGTGCTGAACATTCAAACTACCAGCCGTGAAAAACTCGTGTTCAAATATTTTACAACATTTTTTGTGCCTGCCTAAACAGAAGCCTGTGGCCACCAGGCCACTGTCTGCCTCTGTCTGTGTGTATGTGTGTGTGTGTGTGTGTGTGTGACTGTATATGGCTGTGCTTATGTGTGTACGAGCCCTGTATCCTTTTGGGCACTGTGGCCAGTCACAAGTTACTAAACTGCGCCCTGTGCCTGTCCGGCTCCAGCCCTCGCTGTCTCTGCCTCCTTGTTGGGCATGGTTTGTGGCGTTGTTCCTGGCTCCTGGCAAACCATTTGAAAATTTCGTTTAGCTGGGCGCTTCAACAAACAAACAAAAATAAAATAAAAATACAACAACAAAAAGTTGAAAAATCAAAGCGAAATCGAAACAGGATAAATAAATGTGCACATTTCCGTTCGGCGCGCATATCCTGTCCGCGCTTCCTAGCCAGTCAGTAACCCAACCCCCTTACCAACCCCCACCACAGTCAATACCCCGGCCATTGCCATGTGTCTCTATTTTATATAAAGTATGTATTATTGATCTGCCGCGCATAAAAAGCCCATTTAAAAACGGCAAAAAAGGCAAAACAGACGAAGCGGCGCGAATTGAGTCCAACCTCCCCTTAACAGTCCTTTGCCATACCAACTCGCCCCACCAAAAAAAAAGGACCAAAATTGTGTAGAAAAATTGTCGCGCACAACAACAAGGCCAACAACAACAACGAGTAGAAGAAGAAGCAGAGTTGAAATTGTAAAATTGGCCATTTTAGCTTTTTGGTTACGCTGGGCACTGTTTGGGTTGGGTGGTCGCTGGCCTTGCTGCTCGGGACCGTTTGGCGTCAGGTTCTATGCCAGTATAACAGAATTTGGCTGCATTGAAGCAGAACGCTGAGCCGCTGAGCTTGTGGAAAAAAGAAGAAGTCACAGACAGTTCAACAGCTGAGCGAGATGAATGTTTCTATGTAAATGCGTTACAATCAGCGATATGCTGCTTCGGGTAGCTTAGCTTGGACAAACAGCTTAAACTTATATACAAATGCTGTTATAAAAATTGTTATAATATTTCTTATGGAAACTGTTATGGCCTTAAAATCGACAGAATTGCAAATTGTTATAAAAACTATTGTAACAACTGTTATATATTGTACTTGTACATTGGCTCAAACAATCAGCTTAAACTTTAATAGAATGCATTATCGATTTAATATCGACGAGAAACGCAGCTCTAGGAACTAATCGACTTAGAATCGATAGTAAAGCAAACAGTTATCAAAACGGTTATCGATTTCTTTTATTTAGCAGTGATGCGTGCGAGGAATAACTGGAACTTCGGGTAGCTTAGCTTGGACAAACAGCTTTAACTGTTATATAAACCCATAAATAATATTAATTATTAATTATTGTTTGGACAGACAACTTAAGCTGTTATACACATAGTTCTTAAAGCCCCCTGACTTCAGTATCCATATTAAAATCGGATTTGTTATGAAACATGTTATCGATTTAAAATCAAGAAAACTGATAATCTGTTACAAAAATTGATCGGTTAAGAAGCGAGAACACTTAAGCAAGTTTTGTTTTAATCGATTATAAGAACTGTAACAACCACTGTCATCGATTTTTCGCATTTAGTTTCTTAAGCTCATTTCGTTATTAAGTTTTTATCATATCGTTTCTTTGCTCTTCTAATCCTAACTAAATTAACTCAATCCGTAATATGGCATCACTCAGATCGGGACATCTGAGGGTTTTAAGGTAATGGTAATCTGTCCTAAACAGGCTTAGAATGGGTCATACTTCCGATAATGTGTGGCATGAATTAAATCCGCGATTAACGCACAATTCTTTACATATTTTTGGGTCAATTTCTGCGACTGATTTCCGTATAACAGTTATACCCCATCAAAACGGTAGCGTAGAGCGTCTAGCAGTTCACGACCCGCTGCACTCTCGAAAACCGTTTGCTCATTGCCATTTTCATTTTAATTTCACGTACAATTTTCCCTTTTTCCAACAGTTTGCCAGTTTACCAACATTTTATTTTTTGCCCTTTCGGTTTTTTTTCCTGCAATTTTTTTTTATTCCTTTTTGCAGCGTTTTAGTCTCTTTTATTCCTCGTCGATTTCCATTAAAATTCAATTGATGTACCATAGATATAGATAGAGCTGGCCTGTGGATGGACCCAGTTTGGCGGATGCGCCAGCCAACTATCTGTCGCAATCTGTAGCAGTATCTGTGTGTGCTTGTGTGTTTGTATAAGCAGTGATTTATCGAACATTAGAGTAACATTCAAAATAAAATTTTTGGTTAAGTGCTTGGCAAAGCAGCGTATTTTATCAACAATTCATGTGGGATTTGATACGCACATGAGAGGGGATTACACACACACACACACAACACACGCACAAACACATCACACATGTCATGGTTGTTACAATGTAAATAGTTTTAGAGTAGAGCAACGGAACCGAGCTAAGAAAATGAACAGCAGTAATCGTCCGACTTTATAAAGCCATCAAAATGCAATTAACCCTTTTTCATTCCGTCTCTATTTCCGATCTAGGGTTATTTTGAATTTCCGCAGAGCAGAGCTAGAGCATGAGGAAGAGAGGGAGATATTGAGTGAGCTCTCGGTGGAGATGCTGAGTGTGAGAGTTGGCTAACTAAAACAAAAGTCGATGCCATAAACGGAAGTCATTTTCGAGCTGTGTATAATGAAATAATTTTTGGTATAGCATGCCTACAAACTGAATTGCTTACAAAAATCAAATTATTGTGCTGTATTTATATATAATAGCGCACTATATATATATACATATATATATATATATATATATATATATATGTATGTATGTATATATGTATGATATGTATGCTATTTAAATGTGCATCCAACAGATAGACGGCAGCTAAAAACGGGAAGGGGAAGCGTTTGCAGCATCTGCATAACAATGGGCACAACGGCCAAGGAATTCAAGTGGCGAAAACTAATTAAAGCGGATAAAGTGGCGCATTACAACAATGGATGCAACCAGGTGGTTGGGCGGTTGGCTGGGTGGTTGGGTGTTTGTCTGACTGCATGCATAATTTGAATTGAGTTTGAGCGGCGAACTCAATTAGATTCATGTGCGCAAAGTTTTTCCTAAGTGATACCGATCTCCATATTCCAGCCCCCCTCACTCTCTCGCTCTCCCTCTCTTTCTCGCACCTGCTCGTCATCTTTCTCACTCGCTCGCTGTTGTCTTTTGTATAGCGCATTTTCACAAATTAATTGGCAAACTTGCACAGCTGTTGATACAAATGTATCTACTTTAATATGTGTGTGCGTCTGGCTGTGTGTGTGTGTGTGTGTGCATAAGTATCTGTTGCCGTATCTGACGCGTAATTATATTGTAGCGCACAATAGACATTTGTGAAATTGTCACTGTTTAGCATATTTGGTCACGAAATGCTTCAATTTACTTGACGTTACGCTTTTGTTGTTGTATCTGTTGCTGTTGTTGTTTTTATTTTCGAAGCTTTGTTTTGTTATTTTGTATTTTTATGAGCCATAACAATTTATGCGTTTCAGCTCTTTTTTGTGAAATTGTGGCAGGAACTGATGCGTGCGCTAAACACAAACAGAATGGAAATGGGAACAAGAACAAGAACAAACAGGATGAAGTATGAGAAAAGTTTTCAAAACCAGCTGCAAATAAATTTAAGCTAGATTTTTACTCCAATAGCTACACTGCCTCTCTCTCTCTCTCTCTGCCTCGTTCTCTCACACTGTTTTTCTCTCTCTCTCTCTCTCTCTCTCTCTCTCTCTCTTTTGCTCATTACTGTTACCTGTTAACTAGCAAATTAAATTGAAATTTCAACATATTTCCGCCTTAGCCAACATTTTCAATGGCCACCAAAATGGCCGGCACCAAATAATAATAGAGACAAGCAGCCACAACCAGAAATGATTTAAATCTGTATATGTGCCTCGTATTGGTATTGTATTTGTATCTGTATTTGTATCTATATCTGTTTCTGTATTTGCAGCCGTAGTTTTATCTTTTGCGTGTTAGCTTTTGCGGCAGCGACAAAGCCGCAAATGCCGTGCATAATTATGCGCCGCATACGCGTCGTATACGTAATTATTAATTATGCGCACATTGGCGCCACAAATGTTATCCAAATCGAATCAGATTTAAGCCCGTGCCTGCCTGCCTACCTGGCTGCCTGAGTTGGTTGAGATTTGTGGGCCACTTAGCTGACCCAAATCTCAGGCTTAGGGCATATTCCATTGCAATTAAGTGTCGCATGCGATGGCCTTAACTATGCACATAATAACCCAATTTGAAGCATTGCCACCAAAACCAAAAGCAAAGCCAAAGCTGATGCTGATGCTGACTTTCGCTGGCCCGTTGGGGTCGCGACTGCGGCAGACAGCGGCCGTGGGTGGTGGGCAGGCGGCGGTGCAAGTGTTCCATGGGAAAATCTGTTGCAATTAGCTGCTCACTTTATAAAAAACTAAACACGCAGCGAAAACAATTTCTAAACGCGCTCAAAACGACTTAATTATGAGTGAGAAATATGCGCGGCAACGTCGCAGCCAATCTCAACTGTTGTCAGTACGTGTGGGTTGCCCCCTTCTTCCAGCCCCCCCCTCGCACCACACCACCGAACAAAGCTGCCAGCCCGGCTGGCTGCTTAATTGCGCCCACTCAATCAAAGCGGGCCAACTTCATTAGACATTTGCGGTAAAAAATCCACGAACAGCTACAAACCTACAAACCGAGTTCACACGAACCTCGCAAATAATTAGCAAAAGATACAAAGATACACTAACCTGAAGGGAGGCGCAGATACATGTAGCTCACAGATACACAAATACAAAGATATACAGAGCAACAGCGTTGAAGTTCAGGCAAATCATGTCGGCTCACGATTTCCGTAGTGTCGAGTGTATGATAAGTCCAATGATCGTTTAGGGACTTCCTTCGGGCTACAGCTGGGTGTCCATTTTGAGTAGAAGACAAGAAAGAGCAAAGGCTAAGCTTTGCTTTATTTACACTTGCTGTCTTCTAATTTCTGCATTTTTCTCTTCTTGTTTTTTTTTTTTTTTTTGTTTTCGGCTGCACTATTGAATTTCATACTTGGATTTAAGAATTTACATTTTTTTTAGTTTATTTGTTAAATTTTTTTTTTGGCTCACGGTGAAACCCTAGAAATTTTTATCGTCTGAGGTACTTGAGCGGTACTTGGGCCAGAGCGAAATTAACAAACAATGTAAATAACAGTTAGTGGCTACTTAAGATGCGCACACCCTCCCTACCCCCAAGTTAAGCATTCCCGTTCCCAGTCCCAGACAAGCAGTCCCTGCCTGGCCTGGCGTGGCCTCGCCTCGTCACTCGCCCTAACCACAGGCATGCCCGTGCTCCCCCCCGTGCACGGCTTCAGCTTTGGCTTCGTCTTTGGTTCTGGCTAGCACACACTTCATTGCTTGCGGTCAATGCGGCCGCCCTGCTCACGCCTCGACTCTCCCTTGGGCAACTGGCCGCTTGTCAACGCGACAACGTCTTGGACTTTGTTAAACCTTAAAATTAGTTTAAGTATTTAGTTACCAATTTAGTTGCTTGGCCAAAGGGAGGGGGGGCCAGCCAATTGACAAGTGAAATGAAGATGAAGCAAATGGAACATAAACTGGGACTACGACTGCGACTGTGACTGGAACTGGGTGTGTGTGCGTTGATATATGCGGTTTGCGGTGACCAGCAGCTGAGCTAAATGTATATATATATATGTGTATATATAAGTATATATCGGGGGAGAGTGTCCGGCAGTTTGTCAACGGTAAAAGATATCTAGATGCTGGTTTACTACTAACTGGCCGTACTAAGAGAGCCTTTAGGAAGCAGGCTGTTGTTTAAAGTTCATTAAAAGTGATTGTTACAGGAGTAAATGATGGTTGATCGTGAATTGCAAGAGCAATTTGTACTTGCTACAGTTCATAAAAATATTAAAGTGCGTTTGAAGATCGGCTGATTGAATTAAATATTATCGTTTAACATACAAACACAATAAACAGAAACCATTAAAGCCCATAATTAAAATAGTAAGAAAACATATTTGCGAGATTTATTGCAACAGGAACTGTAAAAGAATTTAAAACATAAAAAGAGCTTAAAGGCGCCAAGGATTTAAGATAGATTTATCGCAGAACTGATTTGGATCAGCTAAGATTTACAAATTAAGCTGGCGGACTGATTGACGTAATGATGAGAAGAGCACAGCGCTAGCCGTAAGACTGGAAAACTGAATTTGTTACTGAACTTTTGGGTTGAAAGTGTGCACTAAGATGGGACATTGCAAAATTCGATCTACAAGTAGAGAGGAACGATGCTCAAAGTTTGTGTGGAAAACATTGAAAAATATCTCAGTCCCGTGGGGGATAAGCTATCTGAGCATCGAACTAATACGCGAGAGGCTGCTGGTTCAAATTCGGTAGTAATTGTTGATTTTTATGTTTGTTTATGTAATTTGCTTTTATTCACTACGCTTGAAGCTTTTTGATTGACTGCTTGACCATACGCGTAAGCACTGCCAAGCCGCCCTCAATACGCCTTCTCTTATTATTTATACAGCTTACATTCGTAGACCCTTGTGGAGCCGCTCGAGGTTCGGTCATGCGGTCATGTGTTAAGTAGCACTTTACAAAGCGTTGCCACAGACACATTCCCGACAGATTCCTCGATAGATCATCCTCCACAGCTCGACGTGTCGTTCAAAATGTAGCTGGCAGCTACAATAACTTGTAGTTAGTTAAGTTTCATATACATGCGTTCTTTTTTGGTATTCGGTATTAAATTGTGCGGTTTCTGCGGTGGTGCCGGACACCACACATTTCTACAACATTTTCCACTTGACAACGTTAAAAAGAAGCCACAAAAGGCAGCTAGGCCCAAGACAAAGACGAAAGCGAATACGAAGTCGAGTCGAAGACGAAGTCGAGACGCTGACGATGTCATCGGAGCTTATTGGCAATCATAGCGAGCGGTATAAAACAGCAACAACTTGGACTATTATGGCCAGTGGTCAATCATTTAGAGTCTCTTTAAAGAAAAGGAGCTCCGACTTGGCCAGCAACAATATGCGAGAGTGCCAGTTGAAATTTCAAACCGCTCGAGTGCAGCTAAACGTGTTGAAAGCCGCACAGCCCGCTCTCTTTGATTGATGATTACAGCTCAGGGCCCCGACTACGGGCGCTTGGACCTGGACTCTGACTCTGACTCTGTCACTGTCTCTGAATCGGGATGCCTTTCAACTGTGCACTGGCCAAAAATATAAAAAACAAATTAACAAAGCAAAAAAATAAAAGTAAATAAAATGAAATTGCTGTGAGTCGCAGGTGCTGATGAAGAGAGCCGGCGGATCGGCAGCGGTTCGGGGCATGGCCTCAGATAATGGCCACGTGATTAAGCGCCAAATGTATTCAAAAGATTGTAATTAAGGCCACAAAAGCTGCAGATCTGCAACGGCTGATAGCCGCTTGTTAACGGGCCGGCCACAGAGACTGACTGACAAACTGACTGCATTCTTATACCCTGTACCCCGTACCCAAACCCCATGCCCCATTTCATTTTGCCCCCGACAGCCGCCCTGCTGACTCATGCTGACGCACAATTGACTCTTGAAATATCTATTTCAATGCGTTTGTCGCATGCAAAACGCTAAAAAAATTAGTAACGCAACCAAATCGAAGCTGCGTATCTGTATATTTATCTGTATCTGAAGCTGTAACCGTATCTATTCATGCCCGCTTGGGTGGCATCCACAAAGCTGCCGCTGTCGCTCCAGTTGTCTGTTGGCTTTAGTCGCACTTTCATGCGGCATGTCACGCATGACATATGATATAGATATAGATATAGATATAGATATAGATATAGATATAGATATAGATATAGATATAGATATAGATATAGATATAGATATAGATATAGATATAGATATAGATATAGATATAGATATAGATATATATATATATATAGATATAGATATAGATATAGATATAGATATAGATATAGATATAGATATAGATATAGATATAGATATAGATATAGATATAGATATAGATATAGATATAGATATAGATATAGATATAGATATAGATATAGATATAGATATAGATATAGATATAGATATAGATATAGATATAGATATAGATATAGATATAGATATATATATATATATATAGATATAGCTTGAGACTAGGAATTGCACAATTAGAGAATTTGAGATTCGGCTTTTGATGGCTGATTCTTCATTTCCTGAATTATTTTTTATGTATTCATTTGGCGGCGTTTGGCTTTTGTAGTCCACAAGTTAAGTTTACTGTTTTTTTGGTTCATAATTTATGCAAAATCATTGGCCGATCGATCAATGGCCGTCACCCGCCGCGTTCCCGTTCTCGTTTTCGTTCCCGTTCCGCGTCCGCTTGCCAAAAGCCAAAAGCCAAACTAAAACCAAACCGAGACAAGAGATGCCGCACAGGTGCGAGCAGGAAACGAGTCGCAATTGCTACGCATTTAATTGGATTATGAGCCAAATCCTGTCACAGCACACATCTATGACGCACCCACGACATGGCACGGCACAGCACGGCAAGACACGATACGTCCCAGTTTTGTTGTCGAGCCTCCTCGGCCTGCAACTAATTGCAATCGAATTAGTCAAGGAGCTCAGCAACTTTTCCCG